GCGCATTGTCCTTACCCTCCCGCAACTTTGGATTCTCTTGAGGCGTTCATTTTGAACATTGGTATGCCTGGATGCGAAAGGTAAAACATAATGGCTAATATTTACGAAAACTGTTGCCTTAACTAGTGCTCTATGGCATACTTGACTTAATGCTAAGCCAGGCCTTATTATTGCGATATACACTGTATAAGCCAATAACACCAATATTTCCTAACAAGGCTCGACTAAAATCATTTATGAAAATCTTGGCTGTAAACCCAGTCACCGTCACTTTCCAACCAAGCCTCCCCAACGTACTTCGTAAGGAGTAATGCCGACAGGAGTTCACTCGAGCCCTTGAACTCCCTTCGCTTCTTACATCTGGCAAGTTCGCTCAAACTAAGCTCCGCGAAGTCGACGCTAAGTACTCCGAGTGCCAACTCGGTGCCAACCCGGTGCCACTCCTACTTAGCCAGGTGTCACGGCATTAATAACAAATATGTCCCCAAGCCGGGATCCACGGACGTCTTCCGTGACGCGGCTTAGTCCAGCAGGCTCAGGCGGTTCGGGCTCGCGATCGGGAAACGGCCTTCCACGGGCCAAGGGAGGCCAGGCGAACCGTCTTGCCTCTCGTGACTCTAGATTCGAAAGCTTACCCTTGGAATCAGCACAGAACCATTCATGCTCGCTCAAGGTGTCGGTAACATGATAATCCGGCAAACACGCCACCTAAGACCTTGTACGTCTTTTCCATTCCAAAGCACTCCGGATATCAATTTCCGACGGTCATGTACACACGCTTGACATATAACCCCGACGTTTCCTCTCCATTTCTCGGTAGCCTGTAAGAGTACGTTGCGTTGCCCTTCTCGAGTATCCTATCTCCCCCTTCCTCCGCGCCCCAATTACAGCGCTCCAGTTAATCTGAGGTATAGCCAAAAATTCACGTTTTACCCGCGTGTTGATAATGGATGCAAAGCCCGCCCGAGTGACGTTGTGTCTTATCGCTCACTGGCGGCGTAGGGACCGCTGAGTCGCAGGCCAGGGGCGGACTCTTCGGCCTGTCCATTTATGCCTGGGTCAGCGATGGCTAATAACCTGATGCAGCTCTTACACGAACCGCATGAACTCAGAGTTTACTTCCGCTTCTAAGAAAAGAAGTAAACCTTGCTTGTCATGGAAAAAAAACATGACACTAAGGACAATCGTGTAAGGGAATTGTTGCCTTATTAAGTTAATCTACTGAGTGTTACTGACTAGGGATTCCATGTATTCTAAAATGACTTAATCTTCTGTTAGCCTGCATTCTAAATTTCGGTAAGAAATATTTCAGTAAAACTATCATGAATGAAATACAAAAAAGTCATCTTGTGATTTTATGATATAACTACATTACAATAACCATCATTAGTTCCTCTGCTCCAACTGCACATATACATCTATACATACATGCAAGTACGTGCGGCGTCAGCACGACCCATGACCGTACCTTAAACATGAGAAAGACTACCGTATGTAACAGATACACCGCCACGTGCGAAAACAGCGAAAGTGTCCCCAGCCGACATGCCGCCCCGCCAAGCACAGCGTCACTCGCTTGCATGGCGCCGCAGCGGCCCTCGTGAAGGATACTGCCATCCCTGGCGAGGTCGGCGCCGGCGATGGCACGAGGCGGCGGCGCGGAAATCGTTTCTCTTCCACCTCGACTTCCTTGCCTGCTGGAAAGTGACACCGAGCTGCCGCCCCTAAGCACACGCTACACTGCGGCCCACATCAATCTGTTCTGTTATCACGGCTTATGCCCAGTCTACGTCCGTTAAGTTCTAACTACCTCGCATGGTGTTCGCCGTGTCCGAAACATCAATCGATGTTTGCTCTTGTATAATATATTCACTTTCCCAATCAAATTTGTATCCTTTACTAAACCTCCAATCCTATCTCTACTAAAACCTTGCTCTGTAGTTATAAAAGTATAAAGACATGATGCGAGTTACACAATCATCAAAACCTCCCGGCGCGGAGGAGTCAAGTGAAAAATATACGAGACCCCAACACAGTGACGGCCCCACGAGCGCAATTTTTGGGCCTAGACAGGAGTTGTGGTCCATTCATTTGGAACAAGATGGCCCAGTCAGGTGTTGTATCTTACTGAATAAACATTTTGACATGTGCATATCTCTTTGTATATTTGTATTGTCGGCAGTGTTTGGTCTGCGCTGGGTCGAATGTAAACAAAAGCTAGCACGTGTCATCGCAGAAACTCACCTCTGCCCGGGCACGTGGTCACGCCTGCAAACTGCCCTGCTTATGATTTTGCAACAAAAGTCTGAAAGTAGCGGTTCGTGTCATAAGATGAGTTTCTCTCGCCTCGTTCCGCTGCGGCGAACATCGCTGTTCGCATTTCTTTTATAACTTTAAGACTGCAAGCATCCAGTCAGAGAAACATGACATCGCTAAAACGATAAACAGCTTGAACAACACCGCCGACGACGAAAGATTAACGAAAATAAATAAATAAGAAAACAGAAACATTGAAGCATCACTCCAACTCAACCTCCGCCCACCGCCACGCCCCGTGCTCTCCCTGCGTGACCAAACTCCGCAAAAACAGGCAATCGGGTGTAATAAAATGCTCTCACATCGCTAAGCCCATCACCCGGACGCGGCTCTCTCTTTCTCTCTCTCTCTTGCCACTGCCTTCCCGCCGCTTCGTGGAGACGTCGAGGTAAAAGACCACTTGTGCCTATCTGCAACGTACTTCGGTCGCCGTCACGTAGACCAGCAGACGTGGCACGGTGCCACGTGAAGGCAGTACCGTTACACAGACAAGGGTAAATCTTGCCTCCGACGGACGTAACTGGGTCTCGCGCTACTTATCCGCCAGCAAGTCAGGGCCGACAACAGTCTCCAGCTGGACAACGGTAAAACTGCGTTTAACGAATGATATTTATGTTGACAGCCTTTGTCTGATCTAAAACAAAAAATAACTCTTCGCCCTTAACTAGAAAATAGCAATAAAATCAATAATTATGACTGTTAAATGATCACGCACGCGCGCACAGAAACAGAGACAGGTAGACAGACAAACAGTTAGAGAGATGGATGGGCACAAATCGCAAAGAAATACACACATGTACATGCACATGTACATACATACATACATGCATGCATGCACGCACGCACACGCACGCACACAAACACACACACACACACACTCACTCACTCACTCACTCACTCACTCACTCACTCACTCACTCACTCACTCACTCACTCACTCACTCACTCACTCACTCACTCACTCACTCACTCACTCACTCACTCACTCTCTCACTCACTCACTCACTCACTCACTCACTCACTCACTCACTCACTCACTCTCTCTCTCTCTCTCTCTCTCACTCACTCACTCACTCACTCACTCACTCACTCACTCTCTCTCTCTCTCTCTCTCTCTCTCTCTCTCTCTCTCTCTCTCTCACTCTCTCACTCACTCACTCACTCACTCACTCACTCACTCACTCACTCACTCACTCACTCACTCACTCACTCACTCACTCACTCACTCACTCCCTGCGCCTAAGCCCTTGATGGGAGCGAGTAGGAAATTCGGGTCAGAGGCGAGACACGGCGTTCCTCGTCGACCTTCCTCATAGGAACTGACAACCTGCCTTCAAGCCTTCCCGTCTCGGCCCTCCGTCCTCTTCGAAGAGCAGGTGTGCCCGCAGAAGGCCCGTATTCGAAGAATCTTCCCGTGTCCCGGACGCCCCACCATAACTGGTCAAACAGCCCAAGTCGTGCCACGATCTCCTCTTGCGCTACGTCACGTCCTCACATAATAATACGAATACAAAAATGAATGCAGAGGCATGACCTTTTCACCTTTCCCGATTTATTTAACATGGAATTAAGGCTGCCTTAATGTACATCGGGTTCGACTTTCCAAGCGACTTTCTTGAGAAGGTGAACCAGAAAGACAGTCCTCACTGCATCTGCATTAACACAAAGGGGCCGCGTGTGCCTCCGTGCGAATGTCGCCCCGTGGAATAATATTTGAAATTTCACGGCGCCCGACCACCTCCTTCGCGCCTTGGAATCCGCTCGAGACGGGCGAATACAAGGGAGAGTCTATTGCAGAGTGTTATTAAGGACGAATTGCCCTTGCCTCAGCCTCTAAGTTGTGCCCTTACGGACCAGTCAGCAGGTGGCAAATAGACATAGCACATCACGCTGTCTTCCTTTTGTGCTTTGTTCTCCCTTCCTGTGATGTTCCACATCCTGTCTGCCCCTGCTGCATTAGCCATCTTTATATTTTTACAAGAATGCTGCCTCGAACGTTGGGCGAAATCCACACTTTATAGGACTGGGAACATGATCTTATCC